GGGGGGGGGGGACCAACCTGCTGCACAGCAAACACCTATGTACTCTGAACTTCGTGGTCGCCTGGCATGCCAAAATTTTTGCTCTCCTTTATGATACTGCCAAATTTTGACGATTAACAGCAAAGAGACTGCCAAAATTTGGCCCTGTAAGTGCGAGAGCTTCTGATTTTCAAGTTGAGCAGGTTTTCAGAGTCGTCAGGAAGCCGAACAGTTGGGTTTCATCAAGCTGAGCTGCTTTTGGAATTGAACCCATACAAAAGCTGTTCGAAAGCAAAGGGAACTTATAGTTTACAAGAAGCCAGCTTCAAAATGGGCATTGCATACTCACACCCAGCCGCCTTCGTCTCGCTGTTCTCGTCGTTGCCGTGTGTGGGAGCACTCCGCGGTCCATAGACCCGCCCCGCCGTGGTCTGTCCCGGTCGGAGCGCCGTGCTAGACGCCGTGCGCTGTGGCTCGTGGTGTGGGACTTTCACGCCCCTTCGTGCCGTTAATGACGGTTCGAAATGGTGAAAAAACATGAAAATGGCGCAGTGTCTGCTACGTGGCGCGCCCGGAGGACGATGAGCCCGTGTGCCTGCTTTCTATGTGAGGAGAACAAACGGTATGGAGGAGAGAACTCCTGCCCCTCCACCACGCCATGGACCTCGCGGCTCAACTGCGCCGCAAATAAGAAATCAATGGTGACATGCGCGCGTAGTTTAGTAGCCGTGGCTTGCGTATGGTTGGACTGCTTAGCAATTCAGATTTTTCCTCTTTTTCACCTGTCTGTCGCGCTGGACGCGGGTTGCGTAAGGCGCGCTCTTATAGAGCTCCTGGTTATTGGTCATTATGGAACTCTGCCATGAGATGCGTGCGTTGCACTGCCACGAAAAAGAAAAATAGCAGCTGATTTGAGTGAGTGGACGCCGTGAATATTTTTATTTCTCTTTTATTTCATCCTGCAAATCGGCCGATTTTCTGATCGAATTTTTGCGGAGCGTTGGCGGCGCCGACGGCCACAGAACGCCTCCGCGTGGCTGCTGGAGCGGCTGGAGCTAGGCGGCCCGCGGAGCCTCCAGCAGTGACCAGGGAAAGGCGAGTTGCGCGGCGCTCTGAGGCCATCTGATTGGCCTGCCAGCTCGGCCAGACCGGCGGCTCGGCACGTCGCGGCCATTGTGGCTCGCTCGTCTCGGCGCGGCGACCACCCCGGGGACACGGCACGGCGGCGCTCCGCTCCACCTGTAGGGGGGCGCTGCTGCTGCTGCTGCTGCTGCTGCTGCTACCACCCAACTTTATTAATTTCGCGGGAGGAGCGCGAAATTAATCGGAGCAAAGTTTTGGGGAGCTGCCGCCGGCTACCTGGTAGGTGTGTACCTGGTCGTACCTGGTCTGGTTAGGGATCGTCCAGAAAGTACGTCCGTTTCTCTGAAAATCCTGCAAACTACAGAAGCTCGGCGCCTGCAAAACTCGGGGTAGGCCACCCCGCAATACACGCATGCACTGCATGCAAGATTGTGCCTACCCATCAGGCTCCATGAGAGCTTGCATTGCCTTATTTTGGAGGGTTCGTAACGGCGAATGACGGACGTACTTTCTGGATGATCCCTTAGGTTGTAGGACTACAGCTGGAGTTTGGGGGAATGCTGACGAATGGAGACTAGTATCCGAGCCGCGGCTCCTGCTGCGGGCTACAGCTTTACCTCCCGAGGTTGTTACTTGACTTTATCTCTGTGGAGCGAGCGCGGTTCCCTTCATACCTACCCTCTTACCCTCTTGCTCTTTGACAGAGCGGAAAAATATCCTTTGCTATGCCCGTTATTTGCGCCCTCGCCTCGGTGCGGTGATTTGGGACCGTCGGCATCGGCAAGTCGAGGCCCAAAGACCGCCCCTCTCGCAAGTGCCGCTACTCTATATCGGGACGCTGGCGATGGTCGTTCGTTCTTCGAAATGCGCGCGAAAGTGCGTTTTTTTGAGAAGTGTCTTTGCTAACGCGCTTGCTCTCTTTGTTTCAGGTAAGTGCTGTTGGACCAAATCGAGTTCGTGAGTACTTACGACCGAGTTCCATGGCGGCAGTGCGGCAGCGACTGACGGAATGCAGTCGCGCGCTTCTGCAGTACAGCAGCAGCAGCCCGCCGCGACTGCTTCGGCAAAGAGGCATTCAGAAAAAGAAAAAGAAAAAAAGACACGGGAAGAAAGGAGGAAAAAGTTGTGATTGCTGTGGTGCAGTATATATCGAGGTCTATTTTCGCAGTAAATTAAGTCTGCCGACTTCCGGCCCGGAGGCGCGCTTGCTCCACTTTGTGATGGACGAGCCCGGACCCCGGGCCACGCCGAGACTTGCCCGTATGGTTTATGAGGCCGGGCGGGGCACGTGTACGACTCGTGTGTTGCACACTTGACAGCGTGTTGCACACGTGCGTTTCTCTGTGTC